CTTTATAGTAATTTCTTTCTACTCCAATTCCATAAAATAGCCAAGACCAATATCTTGTATTGCATCTGAATTTCCTAACTCTGCCACTTTTAAAAGACTTTCTCTATATCTTCCTTGGCTCCAATATCATATCGGTAATTTCATAACGATAACTGGATCTCTTTATTGTTTCTTTAACTACATTGAAGAGACTTATATTGACCTGGACTGGAGTATCGTACAAGTTCTTCCACTGATGCCATTGCCTGTTGTTTACTGCTTTTGATAAGAGTTCTATTTGAAATACTCTAAATTCCTTTATATCTTTTTAGTATTACTAATAGTTTTTTTTTTTTTTTTCATTGCCCTGCACAGTACTTATTTACATCCCAGTACCAGGAATTACGTGACTTACGGATCTTTAACAATTTTACTGCTCTGCACGGTACTTATTTACGGCCCAGTATCAGGGATTATGTATTTTATGGGATCTTTTACTGCCCTGTATAGTACCAATTTACATCCCGGTACCAGGGATTACGTGTCTTACGGAATCTTAACTGTTTTTTTTTTTTTTTATCATAATGAAAACCCACTTTATCTATTCTACCTGCTTGTTAAGTCCTCTATATCGTCTCAAAACCAGTATTAAGATCGTTGGTTTCTTAATCCACGGCAATCACCAACATTGACCATATTGGTAGATTTTATATTCTTCTCAGATGCCGTTTTTCATCATTGTCCGTACCCATATCGACAGCTCTTTGATAATGAGTGTTTCATATTTATCCCTGTAGCACTAACATCTTTCTGATCTCAATACTTAGTTCTTGGCCCACTGATAATTTGAAACAAGACTAGTATCAAATAGAATTCCATCAAATGCCCTTTGCTTGCTCGAAATCTTTGTAGCGATAACTCCAAAACTGTAAATATCTGATGCTTGAGTGTCTGATCGACCCATTAAAATCTCAGGTACTATATATAATGGAATTCCACAAATTTTCATCTATGATTATTTTTTGATACTCCAATACATCCCAAGAGCGAAGGATTCTCATAATCAATTTTACAGTGATTCTTCACTCCGTGGATGTATTCTTGCTTATTTTCATTTGAATCACAGATCACTTTAAGTACAACTTTATTTCATCTATTGCTAACGAACCATGTTGCACAATATACAGCTATAAATCCTCATTTTACCTCTTCCTGAATATCCTTGAACATATTATAAGATACTTTAAATCTCTCATCATCCAATATTTTCTTAAGTCTGGATTAATATGCTCCGGTAATCTATTAGCTTGCAAATGGCTTCTATATCTTCTGAGCCAATAGTTTGCCTTCTGAATATTTCTTTTGTTTTTGTCTTTGAATCTATCTATCACAGCTTGTTCCAGATATCATGCAAGTTCTTCCATCATCATTGTATAGCGCCATTCATAATACTCGACAAGACGTTAATTGATTAGTCTACAAGTGCCTATCAACTCTACTAACAGCTTTACTAATATACAAATTTAAAATACTTAACCGATGTTTTTGTTCCACTTATCTATTGTTAGAGGTAAAAAGAAAACGTGATTTAAGGATCATGACCTAGGACCCGTGATCCACAAAAAGATCAATGATCATGATTCAATCGACGCATATAATCGTACCCAATCAAGAATGCATGAAACATGCATTAGGCATCTAAAATACAAACAATTGAATGGTAAAGCTCATATAACCAAAAAAGGAAAATAGGTATAAACAATTAAGCCGAGATTTTAGAACGGCAAAGTGAAAGAATAATGGGCGATAAAGAAGTAATAGGATAAGAAAATATTAATAAGGTGTTAAAGTTAAAATTAGAAAACAGCTTTAAAGTAAAGTATATATACTAGAATTTAAGAATGTTTGGTGGAGGTAATCTAAGTCAAAAATCCAAAAGTAGCATAATCAAGTGGAAGTTGTAAAATGTATAAAGACTGCAAAATTCATAATAAAGAAAATCATCTTCTATGCGCCTAAGATAATATTAGTAAGGGCAAAGATCAAGTGTTAATAGCATTCTCTCGATAAATAAAAACTTTAAACCTAAATAAAATACATACTTGCCAAATCATAGCCACACCTCTATTTAAGCCTTCAGTTTAACATAACATGAGTTTTTTGGCTCTTTAGTGACAGACTCGCCGTTTTTGCCAGCTTCACTATGAGATTTTAGCGAACTTTATTGGCGAGCAAGACTTTTATCTTGCCCAGGTTCTTCTGTTACAACTGTACGTAACTACTAATAGTAGAGCTCCTGAATCGCTGGGATTATTGTTGTCTTCACCTAATATGCCGTTCGTATGTTTTTCCCAGAAAAAATATATCATCGATCTCCTTAGTTTACTACAAGATTATATCGCTAGCTATGTCCTCATGTGCCCCACCATGCATATAAGAGTCGTAACTATCCATAACTAAGTTCTATTATGAGTCTGTTACGTCCTTTTATCAACAAAAGGTTTCTTATATATTTAAAATTCGACTCTAAATCAATTACATTATCATTAATTATACGATAATTAACTTTACTTCAATTACATAATTAATTAATCATCTGATACTTATCTTTTACTTCATTCATATATTTCTTATGCGCCTTGATTGATCCTTGATTAATTGGTTATACGCATTAAACTATTAACCCCAAATCTTGCCGTATAACGTCGTAGACTCATTGCACAAGGTCTGGACTAATTTTTGCTATAGAACTGCTTGTGGCCATGACAATAAGGAATTTACAACAGGTCTTATATTTGCATGAATATCAAGAGTTTGTACTATAATTGGTCTTCTTTTCGATACTGCCTTTTCTTGACAAATTACAAAATTAGAATAAAAATATGTAATTACAACAAATACTAAGTTTGCTTTCTTTATAAATTTATTATTAATATAATTCTAAAAGGTAAAGGCAATTATAAATTTTAAATCCAATTTTAATAATTAAAGCCTAAGAATTAGGACTCCAGCTTGCCATTTTTCTAGTTATAGAAAAAGCTGATTTGCAACAAATATAGTTGATTTTTTTGTAGTCTATAATAGAGTTTTCTCAGTTCTGTTAGAATATATTATAATTTATTAAATAGAGTTTTTTATAATCTGATTGGTTAATTTTATGATTACAAGTTTATTAACAAATAAAATTTAAAAATTATTAAAAAAAAATAAACTGTAAACAAATTTTATAAATTAAGTTATATAGAAAATATTAAAGTTTTAATAGTTGTATTTTATATTTTAGTTTTTAACTATATAACTAATTTATTATATATAGTAAATATACCAAAAGTATAACTTTGCAGTTTAAATTATTATGTATATTTTATTTACATAATAATGTATAGTTTGAATTATGTTTTATACATTATGTATAACTGCTTGAGATCAAATTATAATTTTATATATAAAAAAAAAAGAAATTGAAATTCTTATTCGTCAAATTGCTCTACAATGTAAATTTTTTAAAACGATTGAATTGCAAGAACATCCATCTTATTTCATAATGCATTTGAAAGCAAATCTGTTAATGGATATTGTAAATTCCTTATTATGCAAAAATATTATGATTTCATATTAAATTTCTTCAAGATTCATTATTGAAATCATTAAAGATTGTTATTGGGACAAAGATATTAATTGAATCTGTAATGTTACTTCCATTATTATCGCATAATCCAATCGTACATCATGATTTACAAGTCATTATCATTATTAGCCGAGTTTTAATTTGAGATTGTTGTGCTTATGTAATAATGTACAAAAAAAAAACAAAGTTTGCACGGTAACATCTGACAAACTCATATGATCATGAAAAACTTTCTTTCTATTTATTCTAATATTTAAATTAAAAACTCAGCAAGTGACTCTCTACCAATTATAATCATAATTTGTCAGATAACACCATTATTGAGTAATTTGTCAAATACATTAATTTGGCAAATGATTGGCTACACATGCTACAAAGCAGCATGTGCTCATTTGCCAAATTATTAACCTATGTAATTATCACGAAATCTACGGACAGTGCTTAGGGACAGTGCAGTTACGTAATATATATAATCATGTGACAATCAATTAAGTTTCTATAAAAAAATAGCCTCTCTAATAGCGATAGGGATTAAACTTGTATAATATGTATTTAGGAACAATATTTATGAATATTAATTAAAAAATTTTGCCGAATTTGTTGCTAAGCTATCTTTATTTGAAGTTTTAATTAAGTATATATTCTGAGCGCATTTAAAAAGATTTCACTGTAATTAATTCTTCATTTATGAATATTAGTACAATTAGTATTTTAACACAATAGTAATTACGCATATTAATAAAAAACTGTTTCAATACTGTATATAAATCGATAAAACTAACTCCATATACAATATGTAACGATCACAGCTTATAAATGCCCTAAAACATGCATAATAATATATTTCACAGAAATCATCACGAAATGACGAATAAACATGGTTTCAAAAAAAAATATATATATTAATAAACTTAACTGAAAAAGTTAATGTTCTAGTGTCATTTAAAGTGAAGTAAATCATAAGATCGACGCATTTATGTTTTACTTATATAAAGAAAAATAATTAGTCTGTTTTTTTATATTCAAATAAAAATATTAAAAATAGCTTACCATTTTTAATAAGCATAATTCAAGGTTATCAAATTAGGCGAAAAAGTTTTTTTTTGTTGCAAATTATAAAAAGTATATAAATGAAAAAATGTTGTATTTGTAAAGATTGTTTTTTTCTTGCTGCCTAATGATTTCTCAATTACAGTAAACGTAGATTAATTAATTCATAATGACTAGATCGATTAATTGGTAATTTGTATTTTGTGCTTGTAATAACACATCATATCATGCAGATAGTGACAAAGCCTATAAGATATATCAAAATAAAGTCAATTTATAATAATAATAATAAATATAAGAAACAGCTCCAATTATAAAAAATTATTATATCAAACAATTAATCATGTCACAATCAGAACCACAAATTCCAAAACTTGGTAGTGAATTCTCGACAGTAGAGAAATTCAAAGAAGCTGCTCAGCAAGGTATTAAGGCAGCAGGCTTTGCTTTCAGTGTATCGTTATCAAAAATATCACATGTTGAGAAAGATGGTCATGCTCCCTTTGTTACCCTACAATGTGTAATGGGAGAAAAATACAGAAACAACTATGAAATTACTGAAGAAACTAGAAAAAAAGTTTACAAAATGTCAAAACTGCCCTGTTAGTTTAAGAGCTACTTTAAATGAAAATACTATTGTTTGGGTAGTATCTTCTTATAAAAGTCAACATAATCACAAACTTCTTTCTTTAACACAAGTACATTGTTTTCATTAGCATTAGGTTCTTAACAAAAAGTAAAAAGAACTAGTTCATCTTATGCTTAAAAGTGGTGCATCAACCCAATCAATCGCTGATGCAGTGCATTGGAAAGATGTAATTGCGTATACAAAGGATATTATAAATGAGTGTGATAGAATTAAAAATGCTTTAAATAAAGGCTCTAATTATGATACTACTATGAGGCTTTTAAAAATGTTAGAAGAACATCAGTATATAATTCGGCACCAATTAGCAAAAGATGAATCTATGCAAAACTTATTCTTTACGCACATTGAGGCAGCACGTCAAGTGGCTAAATGTCCAGAGGTACTTATAGTGGACACAATTTATAAAACAAACCTATACAAGCTTCCTCTTATTAATGCTATTGGTGTTAGCAATGTTAGTAATACTAAAGCTCTTAATACCTACCAAATTGCGATAGCTTGGGTTGCAAATGAACAGGAATACACATATACGTGATTTTTACAAATTTTGAAAGAGACAATTTATGATATTTTCTCTTGTTATTTGGAAGTATCTGTTTCTGACAGAGATCTGACCCTTCGAAAAGTATCAAATAATGTATTTCCAATAGCCAAAAAAATGTTTTGTATTTGGTATATGCTTGCATAGAATCTATGAACTACATGCAGAAAGCTTTTTGATTCTAACGAAAACTATAATGAATTTCTATTATCTGTTCAAAAAGTTGCTTATTCTGGAGAGATGAATGAAGTTAAAAAGGCATTTGATGAGGTTAAAAAAACATCAGCTAAAAGTAGAAATTCAAATTACATTTAAAGTTATTTAGAAGAATGGAAAAAAGATGCTAATTGTTGGATGTGTGTATATATATAAAATTATCAACATATGGGCATACAATCTACACAACGAGCTGAAGGAAGCCATAGCAGATTGAAAAAAGCAATAGAGGCAGCAAGTGGTTTAGAGCAGGTTTTTTTATATATTGATCATGCCTTTGTCAATATAAATTACAAATAAATGGAGCTTTAGAATTAAATATTATTTCTGCAGATCCATTCATTCTTAATAATAAAAGGTTCAAACAGCTACTTGGAAAAATTTCTAAGTATGCAATTGATAAAATAAAAAAGGAAATATGTGAAATTAAAGAAAACAGCAATAATGAAAAAAATAATCATTGTGAATGTAGTTTAAGATTAAATTTTAAATTACTATACCATCATATAATTCCACATGCAGGCTCTATTCCACTTTCAATTGTGCATCCCCGTTGGTATCTAAATAATGATTCAGTGCCTCTATTGTCTTCTTTATCCTAGTCAATTGATATAGCTGTTAGTAAGGCTTTATACAAACTTGAAGAAAAATACGAAACCTTAAGTGACAGTGGATCCAAAGCTACACTTTTACAAAAAATTGAAGCTCTAGCTATTGAAGAGAATATAATTCCAAAGGCACCATTACAGGTTATATCTAAAGGGCGACCAATATCTACTAAACGTGATCTTTTTTTAAGTGAATGTCAAGATAAAATTGCAGCAACAAAAGAAAAAAATACAAAGGTGTCAATGTCAAAACTTATAAAATATTCACAAATACAACAATTTTTATATCACGACCAAATACCTGTTTATATGCACAAATTTATAAAAGAGGTGATCGATGTAGATAAAGATGGTAATTACGGATATAGAGCACTGGCAGTAAGTTTAGAAAGAAATGAAAATGAATGGTTAGAGGTAAGAAAAGAATTGAAAAATGAATTAAATGAAAGGGAACAATTTTACCAGTCATTATTTTTAGCTAATGACGACTATGAAATAATTAAAAAAGAGATTTCTTGGTTAGATGGCTCTTGTACATTTAAATACTAGATGAGAATGCCACAAATAGGAGATGTTATAGCAAACACTTACCAAAGACCATTATAATTTTTTTCACAAGTAAATCTTACATTTCTTTCATATCACCAACCATTAAACCAAAATAGAGCTCTTGCAATTGGTTTTGTTAATAATAATCATTATGTAGCAATTGTTTTAAAACCTGGTGCTCCTATACCTCCAATTGTTAATCGATGGTTACAATTCACTACTTCAGCAGCATCACGATAGATGCAGTTGATTCAATATTGCATTGATAAGTTTCTTTTAATAAGTAATTAAAGTTTAAATAAGAATAATAATATGATAGTGGCTATTTAAAACAATTAAGCAAATTTAAGAATACTTCTGTTATTGTACTTAAAAAAAATTTCTATATGTATAATTATAGTTTTACGTTGTAATAATTGAATATTATTTTTCAAAAAGCCTGTATATGTTTTATATAGATCAAGAATAATGTTAAAAAACAAAGTACTTAAATGAAGTCTTTCTGGCTATAATACATTTTAACGATATATAAAAATTAAGCGTTATATATTTGGGTACTTGTAATAATGATAATTTGTAAAAGAGAGAGAAGATCAAATTGCAGTCTAATATTTATATGTATTACAATTTTGTATATCATATGATGTTATAATCACATGACTGCACTGTCCCTAAGCAATGTCTGTAGATTTCGTGTATAATTATACCACAAAAAATTTTCTGGTCATATGACTTTATCATGGTGCAAACCAATTGAATTTCAGGATCAGGTGTAATGTAAAAATTACGCTTTTTATATTTTTTTATAAAAAATCACATTAACAAAAAAAATTTCTTGCAAATTTTTGATAATAGCAACACTTTAACAAAGTGTCTAACCCAAATCTTAACTCTCAATTTATTACTTTAATTTTTTTGTTTTATTTGATTGTTTTTTGTTTTGATTTTCACATTATACCTGATCTCGAAAAATAATTGGCTAGTGCCATAAAAAGTCACATGACCAGAAAATTTTTTGTGGGTGAGCTACTAACGTCAATTAATTATTGCCTAATAATATATACTTATGAAAATATTTTTACGTTATTTTTGCCACTGTTATATAGTTTGAAGTTAAAAATCTTGATGAATAAATGATTTTAGTTTTATATAGTGAGATAAGAATTAATGTTTTCTTAATGGAATCAATATTAATAAATTTCTCTTGATTTGTATCAGACAATCATTGTGGAAAATCACGTAATTGATTGGTGGTGCAGTCACAATAACGTAATCAGCTTACGTATGACCCTAATCAGCAGCTTTTCCAATATCTATATTTTTGTCCAAGTTGATAAGATTCTTCAGCATTTTATTTTTTTTAATATAAAATTTTTATACGTTTCATTTATAGTTGTTTAAATCTAAGTTGGTTAATTAATTATTAGAACAATTAATTGAATAAAAACTTTATTGATTGTTTTTGTTTTACTAATTTAGTGCACTCAAACATTGCATTAAATAGTAAAATTTTCTTTTATTGATCCAGCTTTTAGTGCCTATTAAAAATGTCGGTCAAACTAAAACCATTTAAGTTCCAAATTAATAGTTATAACTAGTTCGATGAACTGGTGCAAAATATCAGTAATTTTGTTATATCGATAAATTAATTTTTGTATTAAATAACAAATTTGTATATTTTTTACGAAAAGATAATTTAAATGATATGATTTATTCTATACATAAAAAAATATTTAACAAAAGAATAAAAAAAAACAAATATTTGTTAAATATCATTTGGAATTTCCATACCAACAGATTTACTACCATTTAGATTTGATAATCTTTTGCTAATTTCTCATGTGTTAAATGGTTTGCTAGTGTAAATATTGTTTAATTTTTCTTGATCTCATCACTTTCTAAAAATTGCTTTTCAATTTTGTTTTCACCTTTACTTTCACCTTCACCTTTATCAATAAAAATACCATTATTTTCATCAAAAAAAATATCAAAATTTTCATCGTCATAATATTCGTTATAATTATCATTTAAAATTTTTAACCATTTTTTAAATTTAATAATTAATTCTTTAGAAGTGGGTCGTTTGCTCGAATCTGAATCCATGCATTGTTTTGCCAATTCAATATAACAATTAGGAGTTCGAAGTGCAAACTTTGGTCGTAATCCATTATATATCTTAATTACAAGTTCGACATCAAATTTATATCCATTAAAAGGTCTTTGCCCAGTTGTTATTTCTACCATGATGATTTCAAATGAATAAATATCAGCTGCTTGAGTGTATAGTTCTCTTTGAAAAAGTTTAGGAGCAATGTAAGGCAAGACACCATGAATATGATCTTCATGTTCTTTCTCATCAAGTGGTTTTGATAAACCTAGATCAGTAATATATGCTTCGTAATATTCTTTTAACAATATATTTCCCGGATATAAATCTCAATGTAAATATCTTTTATCATGAATACGATCAAGATTAGATATAATATTATGAAGTATCTTTAATTTAATTTTCTATTCAAACTTAAAGATATCGGAAAGATTTTTGCTTAATGAACTATATTTTGCATAACTCGTTACTAAAATATAATCGCCCGTTTTTTCATCTCTTGATATTCCTAGGTATTGTTCTAAGCTATGACAAGCTTTTAACTAAAAAAAAAATAATAATAAATTATTATATTTAAATTATTTAAATAAAATAAAGATTATATAGTTATTGACGACTATACTATATTCTCATATTCGTATATTTATGTCATCAATTTAAACTTTTCCATTGTCATATGGGCGAAAATTTCCAGTCGAAGCATTGTGATTATTAAAATTAAATGTAATGGTCTAAATTACTATAGAGTAACTGTATAAAAACTGATAAGAGCTCGTAAATTATCTAAGGACCTATAAAGTAAACTATATAAAAAACTGATAAGCAACTGATAAGTATCTCATAAAAAATTTTATGATGATTCACTTTTAATATTAGTTATCACTTCAAATCTTGCATATAATTGGTTTAAAAAACTTTAATGCATAATAAAAATTATTAAAATTGGAAATTTTCGTCCATACGTTAAAATTTAAGCTACAAAAAAAAGATGATAAAATAGTGATAACATAAAATGCAAAAATAAGAGAATTTTTGTGCAGTCATCAATAACATGGCTGCATAATAATAAAAATTATCTCTTTTAAGAATGGTTCTTTATTATTGTTAGAATCTTTTATGATCTTAATTGCTACTTTTTCATATGACCCTAATTTATTTAAATATTTGGTTCTAAAAACTGTAGAAAATACTCCTGAGCCTATTTCTGAGATAATTTCAAACTTATCATATGCCATCCAATGAAAAAATTCATATTTCCCACCAGTTTTAGCTTGTTCAGTGATAGCAGATTTTAAATATCATTCGAAAGCAATATCTATATCCTTTTCAACAACATCTCCTTTTCAGTAATATTCACCAACGAGATATATTCTATCAGGAAATCCCATCTCTGCTGATTTTTTATAGTATTCGAACGCCTTATGTGAATCTTTTTTAATTCCATTTCTATTTTTATAACAATATCCAACATTTTTTGTTGCAATAATATGTTCCATTTCTGCTGATTTTTTAAGATATTCGAATGCTTTTTTTTTATTCTTTTTAACTTCAATTCCAATGGCATAACTATATCCAACCGTATTTATTCCTTCAGCATCACCCATGTTTGCAGCTTTTTGAAAATATTCAAATGCTTTTTGTTCATCCTTTACAATTCCAATTCCACTTCAATAACATTTTTCAACAACCTATATTCCACGAAAATAACCCATATTAGCACTTTTTTGATAATATTTGAATACTTTTTGTTTATCTATTTTGACTCCAATTCCTTTTTCATAACATCTCCCAATATTAAATATTCCTGCAGTATCACTCATATTAGCAGCTTTTGGATAGTATTCAAATGTCATTTGTTCATCTTTTTCAACTCCAATTCCATATTGATAACATTTATCTAAGGCACATAAATGACCCAAATCAGCTACCTTTCTAAAATACTCAAAGGCTTTTTTTCTATCTATTTAAATATAAAGACTATCAATATATTTTTGCCCAAGTTGATAAAGTTCTTCAGCATTTTGATTCATTGTTATTTTTTTATATAAGTAAAAAAGAATAAGATTTTTATTTTAGTTGCTTAAATCTAAGTTGGTTAATTGATTTTTAGAACAATTAACATTCTTTAATTGAGAGCAACTATAATCTTCAAGCTGGTTAATTGAATTGATTGTTTTTTGTACTAATTTAGTGTACTCAAACGTTGATGTTGAAATAATTATTAAACATTTAAACTTTACGTAAGAGGTTAAAATACGCTTAATTTTCAATAGTAAATTTTCTTGAATATTTAATTCAATCTATTCAAATTGTTCAAATTGTTAATCCATTCGAACTGTTCAAAAATATGTAAAATATCTGTGACTATCATCCGTACGTTCTGTGACTATCATCCGTACGTACACAATATATGCGGTTGATCTTGTGCTGTGTAATTTGTATTACATATACGGATTGGTTTACTAATTTTCACCACTCCGAATAGAGGTGCAGTAGAATCTCAAGGTATTGGAATGAGCCGTATCGTAATTAAGTTATAACTTGTCATAACGTTTTATAGCATGTCCAAATATGCATATGTACTTTATTATAGTGATTATGTCATAACTAGTGTTCTGATCCTTAATCTGATCATCTGAATTGGTCTTTAAATTTAGATAAATTTAAATATCCAGATCAGAGATTTCTACTCGGATTTGTCAAAGAACTTAAATAACGGACATAAGGTTGTTCTCAAAGCTAGCTTTATTACTAATCTGATACGGATTCAATTTGGATTTAATAGAATCCGAATGGCCTGTCAAAGATAGGATCGGAACACTAGTCATAACTGTTTTATGTATCGTAACTCAATTTTTATATATTGTAACTCATGATATGCAATACTTTATTAGTTGTTTTATTTTTACTATCATTTTTATATACATATGTAAAGACTACTATGTAATCTATTTAATTATTCTTTATATTCATTAAACATTTGTGCTACTAAGCTTGCCGAATTATAATTATGATTTTCTGAAGCCAATTGTTGAGTCCTGTTATTTGAGACCTTTTCTTGTTCTTCAATAAAAGAATTGTTATTTTCAATAAAGGCCGGGTTAGAGAGATCAATAATTTCTTCAATTAATAA